TATTACTCATATGTGCATACAATGTTTGGGTAATTTCTCCCCACTTCCCCCCACCCCCTCCCTTACCACCCCATCCTCTCCCTCTCCCCCTCACACCAGGAAGAAACTATTTTGCCCTTATCTCTAATTTTGTTGGAGAGTATAAGCAATAATAGGAAGGACAAAAGGTTTTTCTTGGTTGAGATAGGATAGTTATACAGGGAGATGACTTGCATTGATTTCCTGTGCATGTGTGTTATCTTCTAAGTTAATTCTTCTTGAACTAAACTTTTCTCTAGTTCCTGGTCCCCTTCTCCTATTGGCCTCAGTTGCTTTGAAGTATCTGCATTAGTTTCTCTGCATTGAGGACAACAAATGCCATCTACTTTCTTAGGTGTCTTACCTATCCTCATACCTCCCATGTGTGCTCTCGCTTTTATCATGTGATCAAAGTCCAATCTCCTTGTTATGTTTGCCCTTGATCTAATGTCTGCATATGAGGGAGAACATATGATTTTTGGTCTTTTGGGCCAAGCTAACCTCACTCAGAATAATGTTCTCCAGTTCCACCCATTTACCTGCGAATAAGATTTCATTCTTCTTCATGGCTGCATAAAATTCCATTGTGTATAAATACCACATTTTCTTAATCCATTCGTCAGTAGTAGGGCATCTTGGCTGTTTCCATAACTTGGCTATTGTGAATAGTGCGGCAATAAACATGGGTGTGCAGGTGCCTCTGGAGTAACCTGTGCCACATTCTTTTGGGTATATCCCCAAGAGTGGTATTGCTGGATCATATGGCAGATCTACATTTAGATTTTTAAGAAGCCTCCAAATTTTTTCCAGAGTGATTATGCTAGTTTACATTCCCACCAGCCGTGTATAAGGGTTCCTTTTCCCCCACATCCTGACAACACCTGTTGTTAGTGGTGTTGCTAATCATGGCTATTCTAATGGGGGTGAGGTAGAATCTTAGTGTGGTTTTGATTTGCATTTCCTTTATTGCTAGGGATGGTGAGCATTTTTTCATGTGTTTTTTAGCCATTTGAATTTCTTCTTTTGAGAAAGTTCTGTTTAGTTCACTTGCTTATTTCTTTATTGGTTCATTAATTTTGGGAGAATTTAGTTGAGTTCCCTATATATTTTGGTTATCAGTCCTTGGTCTGATGTGTAGCTGTCAAATATTTTCTCCCACTCTGTGGGTGGTCTCTTCAGTTTAGAGACCATTTCTTTTGTTGAGCAGAAGCTTTTTAGTTTTATGAAGTCCCATTTATCTATGCTATCTCTTAGTTGCTGAGCTGCTGGTATTCCATTGAGAAAGTCCTTGCCTATATCTATTAGTTCCAAAGTATTTCCTACTCTTTCCTGTACCAACTTTAGAGTTTGGGGTCTGATATTAAGATCCTTGATCCATTTTGAGTTAATCTTGGTATAGGGTGATAAACATGGATCTAGTTTCAGGTTTTTGCAGACTGTTAACCAGTTTTCCCAGCAGTTTTTTGTTGAAGAGGCTGTCTTTTCTCCATCGTATATTTTTAGTGCCTTTGTCAAAGATAAGTTGGTTATAGTTGTGTGGCTTCATATCCAGGTCCTCTATTCTGTTCCACTGGTCTTCATGTCTGTTTTTGTGCCAGTACCATGCTGTTTTTAGTGTTATTGCTTTGTAATATAGTTTGAAGTTGGGTATTGTAATACCTCCAGTGTTGTTCTTTTGACTGAGTATTGCCTTGGCTATTCGTGGCCTCTTGTGTTTCCATATAAATTTAACAGTAGATTTTTCAATCTCTTTGATGAATGTCATTGGGATTTTGATGGGAATTGTTGATTCTATGAATCCATGGCATGGGAGAGCTCTCTACTTTCTATAGTCTTCCTCAATCTCTTTCACATTAGTTTTGAAATAGGCAACAAAGTCAATAAAAATATAGTGGTAACAAAAAATTATATGGAAAACAATGCTAGAGACTAAAAAGATAAAGACCTGTTTCTGAAATAGTGAAACAGTCTCCAAATTCATTGCCTACAGTAACTGTAAATATAATATATTCCTAATAAAACTGAAGGTTTACATTGATTTATGCAAGTAGAATTTATTGTGTGCTTTTAACTAAATTTGAACATAAGATTTTGAAGGAGAATCAAATAAAATAAACTTTTTCCCCAAATTATCCTGATGCCAAGTTTACAGTTAGGAATTCGTAAGGTATACTTTTTCCTCCCACTCACCAGAACAAATCTAAGATAGCCAACTATTGCTGGTGGATATATTGGTAGTGTGTTGTTTGCTTTTCTGTTTCATCCAGCAAAAGCATCGCTTTTGGAGACCTTGCTTAACAGAAGTTTTTGCTATCCAACTCTTACCTAAAGCATGTCTGTGTTCTCTACCTACTAAGGCTGTGGAGAGATATTTCCAGGATGAATTCTATTTCAGTGACATCTAAATTTTCTGGATTCACAGCTTATTCTTATATATTATATGACATTTTTTTCTCATGTTCTTACTCATTCATCTATGAATTTATATAGAGAAGAATCATTTTTGTAGTATTTGAACTTCTATACTTTGGAGGAGACTCTTTAAGAAAAAGAATATAAAGTGATAAATACAAACTTGCTAAAGATTTGGAAGAATCCATGAAACTTAAGCTCTAATTGACTTCATGGTGAATCTCTGTACATTTAAGAAAATTATTATTCATAAAACTTAGTTTATGTATGGAGAGAGTTTCTCTAGGCATCTTGGAATACATACTGCTCAGGGTATATGTTCCAAGTTCAGTAACTGGACTGTTTGTGTTACTGCTGTGTTTTCAGCAAAACAAACTAGAAGCTCAGTAAGTGTTTGATGATGAATGAATAAATTATCTAATTAGTTAGATAATTATTGGTACAATATCCCTACCTAAAAATAAATAACTAAAGGGAAAAATTTGGAAGGAAAATTTTTAAGCAGTTAGGATTTAATAAGCGGAGATAAAAAATAATTTGTGCATTCTTTTGAAAATCAGACTGTTCCTTATGCATCACCTGGAGATCTTGAAGCTAAGAGGCCATTCAAGAGTATACTCTCTCATGTGTTTTCAGTGTTATAAGTTTCAGAGCCCTTGAGAGTCAACAGGACTTTGTGAAGTCCTTTTGTAGAGGAAAACTGGCTCTGGTAGACATGTCTACTACTCACACCCATGACAAAGTGTCTTTGTCTTTTCTTCAAGTCAGAATATGACTTCAGGTTTTAAATTCAAGAAGGATGACAACTTTTTCCTGTCACATCTGATGACTGAAGCAGTAAAGGGCACTTGTCAAGGACAACCTTAAAGGATGTATATATGTGAATGACAGTTGCATGAGATGGAAGTACCCATTCATCTGGATTTGGTAAATTCTATCTGTAATAAATTAGAGATGGGTCACATGAAGTTCTTCACATGAAGAACCATGTTATACAAGGCCTTAAAGAAATGCTTTGATGAGTTTTTGCTATGTCCTGTGATTTAATACTCTGCCTTCAACATTTATAATAAGTAAAATAAAAATTATTTGGTGCAAAAATGAGGAAATTATCAAACTATACAAGATTCCCTTTACAAACAGATCTTTATGATATATGTTTCACTAAATTTATTTCTGAGAAATAATTTGCCCCTGTAGAGGAAATTGAATGCCACTTATATCAGCATGAATGTTATTTAGCTCAGTATATTTCTTTTTCTCCTTGCCTGACAGAAAACTAAGCCAAGTTGTGTGCTTGGCAATAGTAATGAGGTCATAAGATTTCTATGCCCACTCACCCCACTCCTGTTCAACATAGTCTTGGAGTTCCTAGCCAAAGAAAAAAGACAGATAGAAGAAATAAAAGGAATGTGAATAGGTAAAGAAGAAGTCAAACTATCCATATTAGTAGATAACATAATTTTGTATGTAAAAGACCAAAAAAACTCCACCAAAAAACTCCCCCAACACCATAAACACCTTCTGCAAAGTAGCAGGATACAAAATCAACTTACAAAAATCAGTAGTTTTTTATACATCAACAATGAACAGATTGAGAAACAATATAGGAAAACAATTCTATTTACAATAGCCTCAAAAAAAAAAAAAACCAAACACTTAGGAATAAACTTAACAAAGGATATGAATGACTTCCACAAGGAAAACTACAAACCATGAAAGGAAGAAATCGAAGGTGGGAAGATCTCCCATGCTCACGGATTGGTAGACTCAACATGGTGAAAATTGCTATACTACCAAAAACAATCTATGTGTTCAACGCAATTCTCATCAAAGTCCCAATGACATTTATCACAGAGAATGAAAAATCTATCCTAAAGTTCATTTGGAAACACAAATAGCCAAGGCAATACTGAGTAAAAAAAGCAATGCTGGAGGTATCACAATACCCAACTCCAAACTACACTTCAGATCCATAACAATAAAAACAGCATGGTACTGGCACAAAAACAGATATAAAGACCAGTGGAACAGAATAGAGGACCTGGATGTGAATCCATACATCTACACCCACCTAACTTTTGACAAAGGCACCAGAACATATAATGGAGAAAAGACAGCCTCTTCAACAAATGTTGCTGGGAAAACTGGATATCTGCCTGCAGAAAACTGAAACTAGATCCACGTTTGTCACCCTGTGCAAGTATCATCTCAAAGTGGTTTAAGGACCCTAATATAAGACCCCAAAAATTGAAGCTAGTACAGGAAAGGGCAGGGAATACACTGGAAGCAAAAGGTATAGGCAATGACTTCCTCAGTAGAACTCAAATGGCTCAGCAACTAAGAGAAATGATTGACAGATGGGACTACATGAAATTAAAAAGCCTCTGCACAACCAAACAAGTGGTTTCTAAATTGAAAAGGCTACCCACAGAGGCAGTGGTGCTGGGAGTCTCATGGACGCTGTGAGTCAGTCGGGTGGCACAGCGCACTCTGTGCAGCAGCAGCAGCAGAAGTGGAGGCACCCCCGCCTCACAGCCACTGCACTGGTGCAGCCACCCTCGTTCCCACCATGGCTGATCAACTGACTGAGGAACAGATTGCTGAATTCAAGGAAGCTTTCTCCCTATTCGATAAAGATGGTGATGGCACCATCACAACAAAGGAACTTGGGACTGTCATGAGGTCACTGGGTCAAAACCCAACAGAAGCGGAGTTGCAGGATATGATCAATGAAGTGGACGCTGACGGTAACGGCACCATTGACTTTCCAGAATTTTTGACTATGATGGCTAGAAAAATGAAAGATACAGAGAGTGAAGAAGAAATCCGTAAGGCATTCCAAGTCTTTGACAAGGATGGAAATGGTTACATCAGTGCAGCAGAGCTACGTCACATCATGACAAACTTAGGAGAAAAACTAACAGATGAAGAAGTAGATGAAATGATCAGAGAAGCAGATATTGATGGAGATGGACAAGTCAACTATGAAGAATTCGCACAGATGATGACTGCAAAATGAAGACCTACTTTCAACTTCTTCCCCCTCTAGAAGAATCAAATTGAATCTTTTACTCACCTGTTGCAAAAAAAAGAAAAAGGAAAAAGTTCATTTATTCATTCTGTTTCTTTATAGCAAAACTGAATGTCAAAAGTACCTTCTGTCCACACACACAAAATCTGCATGTATTGGTGTGGTCCTGTCCCCTAAAGATCAAGCTACACATCAGTTTTACAATATAAATACTTGTACTACCTTAATGATAAGGAAGCACTTAGTGGACTCCTCAAAGTTCAATTTGCTAATGATTAATACACTGTTTGGGCTGGCCAGTTTTTCATGCATGCAGCTTGACGATTGAGCACAGTCAGGCATTTGTATTAAAACCAAAAAATGAAAAAACATCAAAACCTATTAAGATGGGTTCTAGTTCAATTTGTTAGTATAAATTGTCATAGCTGGTATACTGAAAACAAATACATTTAAAATTGGTTTACCTCAGGATGATGTGCAGAAAATGGGTGAAGGGTAAGCTTGAGATGTAGCCCCAGTAGTAGGGATGGTCCTCTTGTACTTCCATGTGCTCTGACCCATGATGACAATGACACACCCTGGTGGCATATCCAAGTATCTTGGTTGTTAGCATTGTCTGCACTGTACTAGAGTGAAATGGGTGTCAGGCTGTCACCAATCACACAAATTTTTAATAAGAAATCTTTACCAAGGGAGCATCTTTGGACTCTGTTTTTAAAATCTTCTGAACCAGACTTGGAGCCAGCAGAGTAGGCTGTGGCTGTGGACTTCAGCACAACCATCAACATTGCTGTTCAAGAAATTATAATTTACATCCATTCCTACTTATAAATGCTAGTCTTTTTTTTTTCCAATAAAAAGACCATTAACTTAAAAAAAAAAAAGAAAAGAAAAGTCTACCCACAGAATAGTAGAAAATCGTTGCCATCTATACATCAAACAAGGAAATGATAACCAGAATATACAGGAAGCTCAAAAAACTAAACTCCCAAAAAATCAATTACCCAATGAAGAAATGGGCAAATGAACTGAATAGAGCCTTTTCAAAGAAAGAAGTCCAAATAGCTAAAAAAACAAAAAAGAAAGAAAAAATGCTCATGATCTTTGGCCATAAAGGAAATGTAAATCAAAACCATGTTAAGATTCTACCTCATTCCTGTTAGAACAACAATGATACAAACAACAACAAATATTGGTGAGGATATAGGGAAAAAGAAACCTTCATACACTGCTGGTGGAAATGTAAGCTAGTACAACCACTACAGAAAACAATATGGAGGCTCCTTAAAAAACTAAAAATAGACCTGCCATAGGATCCAGCATTACCACTCCTAGGGATATACCTAAAGGACTGTGACTCAGATTACTATAAGAACACCTACACACCCATGTTTATTGCAACACTACTCACAATATCTAAGCTATGGAAACAGCCCCCCTACTGATGAATGCATTAAGAAAACGTGGTTTTTATACACAATGGAATTTTACTCAACCACAAAGAAGAATGAAATTTTTGTCATTCGCAGGTAAGTGGATGGAACAGAACATCATCTTAAGTGAAGTTAGCCAGGCTCAGAAGGCCAAAAGCCATATGTTCTCTCTCATATGTGGAATATAGACCTAAAACAAATGCAGCAATATTATGGGATGCTGGTCACACTAAGCGGAGGTCAAACACATGAGGGATAGGGCAAGGGAAGGAAACTCAGAACTTCAATGTCGTTGATGTGCTTTCTGTCCAGAAATGGATATAGAAATCTTAAATTGGCTGGAGCCACCATGGCAAGGGAGCTGGGGTAGCATGAAGAGGATTAGAGGAGATATGTGTTGTAGTTTATTGGTGTTGTAATTAATTGGTGTTGTGATTCATATATATATGGAATATCACAAGGAAACTCCCTGTGTAACTATCTTTATCTCAAACAAGCAAAAACATCATGCTGCTCTTTTTATCTTTTCTCTTCTACAAAATCAGAGAAGAGGAGGGCAGAACATATCCTGCAAGGGGGAGGGGAGAGAAATGTCACCAGTAGGAGGGGGGAAGTGGTGGGGAAGGAGGATTGGAGGGTGAATACAGCACAAAACATATGTACACATGCATGTAAATGCAAAAATGATACCTGTTGAAACTGTTCCAGGAATCAGGGGAGGAAGGATAAAAGATAGCAGTGAATGGGGTGAATTCAAGTATGATATATTTGATACATTGTAAGAATCTTTGTAAATACCATAATGTACCCCCACCTAGCACAACAATAAAGGGGAAAAAAAGAAAAAGAAAACTCCTATGTTTCTCTAAGCTTGACTCTATATTATTTATTCTGTTATTTAAAACTGCCTGAATCATTATTTCATATCTAAATCATTTAAAGAGAAGATGTTTAAAATAAAACAAATAGCACATGTTTTTAAACCTATGTTAGGTATATCATTTCACCAATGTAAACTTCATAGAATGTTGTCTGTTTATTTAAAATGCCCTAATGTAAATTGATTATATAATTCAGATCTTTAGTATTCATCTCTCCTAAAGATACGGTTTCTTTCCAAATTATGAACAAATTGGGAGAGGAGGTTCATCTCTTATAAGTGGGAAAAAATGCAAATTTAAAGTAGCTATTTAAATAATTAGTACAGTTTAAAAATCAAAAAAAATGAAGGTTTAGAGGGAAAATGTCCACATCCCATTCCTCCTCTAAATCAATATTTGCCTCTTTGTCCATGTGAAAACACCATTGTTATCACTCTAGTATATATATATAAAAATTTAGAAGTCATTTTTTTTGATACTTGGGTTTGAATTCAGAGTCTGAAGCTTGGTAGGCAAGTGATCTTCCACTTGAGTCACTCTGACAGCCCTAGAAGTCATTTTAAAATGGGAAAATGTGTCTATATTAAATTATTAAAAATAAAATACTTCTGTATAGCAAAATAATGGTAAGTGGAGCAAAAAGGCAATGAAAGCCTTGTAGGTTCTCACCTAATAATACAAATGGCAAAGAACACTAAGCTATTAATTGAAAAGTGCCAACAGAAAAATTGACAAAGTATATTAACATGTTGGTTAGAAAAAGGGGCTACAGTTCACTCTTAAATCCATGAAAATATATTCAACCTTACTCTCAATATGACAGATGCAAATTAAACCTCAGAGATACCATTTTTCATTAACAGATTGGCAGCTATTTAAAAATTGGGTTTTGTAACTTATTAATGCATTGCTGATAGGGGTTTATATGTGTAAAAATCCCTTGGAGAAAAACCTGGTGATATTTATGAAAATTAGATGTTGATACCTACTTTTAACCCTAATTTATTCACCTTTCTTAATTCAGAAAGGACAAAAATTACCTTCAAACTAATAAAACAACTTGAACCTCAAAGTGATGCTGTATCAGTTTCTCTCTGTGTAACCAAAAAAAAAGCAAAAAATTGATTTATTTTATTTCTTACATATATGAGACATTATTAATTGCAAGTGTATAACACATAAATCACAATAATGACTAATGATGTAACATGCTAGTCCTGAAATATTTTCCAGTATTTATCTTTCCCTGAAGTATTTTCCAGTATTTATCTTTCCCTTTGTGCTTTCAGTGTATACATTTTCTACCCCTGATTACTGAACCATGTTAAAGAAACAGCTCAGTAAAAGTATCTTGATACTTTCAGTTAAAGTATCTTGGGATGCTTGAATAAGACTATAAAATTATTTATACTTACCTTTTTTTTAAATCAAGAGAATTCATCTCTCTTTGCTATTGAATCAGAAAACATTCAATACCTACCCAGTGGCAAGCTCTGCATTAAGTTCTATGGTCATAAATATGAGTAAGAAATAGCCCCATGAAGACTATTTAAACTAGTGGGATGTTCTCATTGTCTGAAGCTATCGCGATATTTACCTGATTCATGAATCTGCAATTTGAGTAGAATTTGGAAAAATCTGGTTCTGCTTAGTATCAGCTGGGACAGTTCAAAGATTGAAAGCTAAAACATCTGCAGACTCTGTCACTCAAATGGTGATAGTTAATATTCCATCATGTCATCTTGGTAGCTTGAGATTTGCCATAATGAAATACAGAAATCATCAAATGCTACAAATCAGGGCATTTATTTATTTGAGAGATTGTTATTAAACATTGAATTATACCACTGAAGAGTTGACACCAAAACATTTAGAATTTGTGACTAAAAATTTCCATGTGCAAAACTATGTACAGCAAATGCACTACTGAATTTTTTAAATGAGATCTGGAATTGAGCAAATCTAACTGTATTGGCTTTTCAAAAATGCTTTTGAAAAACACCTCTTGCATGGATCTGTTCTTATATATGTATATTTGTGCATAGTGTTATCAATATATACATAAAATACACACATGTTTATTCAAAATAATATTTTTCTTCTTTTTTCCTAGGTGTGGAGGAAAAAATCATTTTTTCTAAGCCAACTTCATCTTCGTCAGGCTATCTAGAAATTTTTGTGTTAATTAGACTTTTCATTGCTATGACAAATACCTGTGAGAAACAGTTTAAAAGAGCAAATAATTTTGTGGTATTTTTCATTGCTCATGGTCACTTGGCTCCCTGTTTCTGGGCCTGTGGTGAGGCAGAACATCATGGTGAGGTGGGCTTGGGAGAGCAAACTGCTCACCTCTAGGTGGCCAGAAGGCAAAAAAGACCAGAAGGGGCCAGGGCAAGAAGTATCCTCCTATGACATTCTAAAATGACCTAATTCTTCCATCCAGGTCCCATTTCTTAATAGCCCACTTAATATGAACTCACCTAAAAATTAAACATTGATGATGTTAGTGCCCTCATGATCCAATCACCTCTCAATGATCAATCCACCAGTTGGGAACCAAGTCTTCAACATAAGTACTTTGGGGGGACACTTCAAATACAAAACATAACAATTGTCATTTGGCTATAGCTCTTACTTTCACTGTTATTAGATATTTTCTTTATCCATTTTTATT